TTGCCAATATTTTTATTAATTCTGGTTCAGTGGAACTGGGTATATTTATTAGATTTCAACATTTTCCAATTTTTCAATTGGCTTTTGGAAAGTAAACTTCAACTAATTAAACTTGTAAATAAAATGTTTTAGAGAGGTTAGATATGCCTCATATATTTAGTCGAGGAAATGAAGTACAACAAATATTTTTAGACTGATCTTTGTAAGCAATGCATTGCTGTAGGATAATACATATTTTAGCCACTCTCAAAAACATATCTTTTTCCACCCTGAAGATATTCACCTGAAGATGATATGAAGAAATCATCATAACAGTGATTTCCATCCTTTTTTATCAGTATTTTTTCACCTCATGGCACACATAAACTAATTACTGAAATTCTGCAGCACACCGAAAAGTTTATTTTTTGCCAATCCGCCAAAAAAAACCCCTTATAATTTTGATTCATTCACGCTGGATGGCTATTGTTGTGTTGGCTGTTGACATTTTTTTATTTGACAATATAAGGGAAAATAAGTCAGTGCACGTGACTAGTCAGGAATTGCATATTTTTAAAATACTTGCGGCACACCAGTGTGCCTCTTGGCTACACACTGGTTGAAAATCTCTGACCTGTAGTGATTGAAAACAAAAGTGTAGGCGCCATCTATTGGTCGCAGAAGCTAAGCAGAAGTTACTAACCTTTCAGGCTTTCCAGAAGTGAGATAAAGGGATTTAAAATTACCCATTCTTTTCTCTTGATCATTTAGGAAGTTGTGGGGTTAGTTTCCAAATTAATGAAGTATGTTGTACATCTGGAAGTACCATTGTGGTATTTTTTTAGATTTATAAACCCTCATTATTTAAGCAAATTATTTAAGTTAACTGTGCAATGAGATACCTATAATGTTTCTACAGATTTAAAAAGAAGGATGTGCATTTTACACTCACAATGTAATTATGTGTAGGGAATATTCATTATTATTCTTTGAAAATACAACAAATCTTACAACAACGCAGGATTTTCTGAGGATTAATACAACTTATGGTCATGTCATTAGAAAAACATGTGTATTTAGTAATAATTATTTAGGAATTTTAGCATGGAAATCTTTGCTTATAAATAGTTGTAAAGTACACTATATTATGGGGCAATAGAATGAAGCGCCCTCCCCGAGGGAAAAGAACCCACAGTATTTAGCGAAAATAAATGTGTATGGCAAATAGAGAAATAAAGTTATGTTATTTAAGAAAAAACTGCATTAAAGAGGGGTCACTTTTAGAATTACAGATTTCAATTAAGAATGTGAGACATTTGAAATGATCCTTTAAATAAGAAACGTTTAGAAGGAATGCTAAATTGTTATCATCACATTTTCAGGGTGCCAGTAAGCTCTTTGTCCTTCTAGAATTCATGGTGAATTGCATCTGCAAAGCAACCTTGTTAGCAGGCAGTCATAATGGCTGTGAGGATGTCAATTGGCCCTATGTGTTCACTTCCTCCCAATATTTTTATCATTTTATCTTTTTTGCTACAACCCACTGCCCCCTGCCATGATTTTATAATATGGTATACTAAGAAAGCTGTGAGAACACAGAGGTATTCTTTGCTATTTGCTGGGGGAATCTGAGATTATTAAGGTTGCTGTGGTCAGAGCATTATGACTTTCATGGGACCTTTCCTCCAAAAAGTAATAAAAATTACAATTTATGTCTTGCTGCTATGAAGATTAATATATTCCAGCCTAGATTCTTTATTACATGTATATTATTATAGTCATGGTTTCTTTTTCTTAAAAAAATTCAAAATATTTGCATAGGTCCCTCAAATTATCATGGGCCCCAGGTATTGTGCTAACTGTACTTAATGAGTAAGTCAGCCTGGTTGTTGAGATTCTCCTTTTACTCTCATGGTCCTAAGCATCTCATTTCATCCTCTGATCTTCCAGAGGCCAGGTATCTGGGGGACTACTCTCAACCCCATAAACATTTCCTCAAATGTGACTTAAAGGTCCTTGGCCATTTGGAAGACACTGTGACATGTGAAAAGATAATATTGAGCTTGGCATATATATTAGTCTGTTTGAGCTGCCATTACAAAATACCATAGATTGGTGGTATAAACAATAGAACTTTATTTCTCGGAGTTTCTAAGGCTGGGAGGTTCAAGATGAAGGCCTTAGTTGATTTGGTTTCTTGTGGAAGCTCCCTTCCTGGTTTGCAGATGCTGCCTTCTCATTGTTCTCATATGGCCTTTCTTTAGCATACACGTATGTGCGAGTGCACACATACACACACACAAAATCTATTTTTCTTCTTTTTCATACGAAGCCACTAATCCCATCATGGGAACCTCATCCTTATCACAACATCTAACCCTAGCTAAACTCCCAAAGGCTCCATCTCCAAATACCATCGTATTGGTGGGTAGGACTTCAACATATGAACTTTGAGGACACACAAATATTCAGTTCATTATAGCTACTCTGTCCAGTCCATACACCATTTTTCTTGTACTACAAAACATGGAGAAGTCACAACTGTGGTACTTGAGGCAGAGGGAAAGGAGGGTGAGAAAAAGTAGAAAATGATAAAGTGGGTCAAATATATGGTGATGGAGGAATTTGACTTTGGGTGGTAAACAAAATGCAATATACAGATGATGAATTATAGATTATAAACTTGAAACCTATATAATATTATTAACCAGTGCCACTCCAAAACATTTAAAAAAATTAAAAAAATTTTTCAGGTGTAATTAAAGTCCCAAATCGATTGACTTTAAAATATGGAGACTATCCATGTGGACATGACTCTGTTAAATGGGCATTTTAGTAGCGGAGAGTTTTCTCTGGATAGCAGCTGAAGAAGAAATCAATAAGATTAGAAGCACAAGTAGGACTTAACATGTCATTGCTGGCTTTGAAGACGGAAAGGGCCATATGATGAATGTGGGCCTCCATTAGCAGATAAGAGGGGCCCTGAGCTAACAGCCAGAAACTGGGGACCTCAGTCCATAACAATATGATACGAAGTCTTCCAACAAACTGAATGAGCTAGTGGAGGTGGATTATTTTCCCTATCTTCCATGAAGAGCCCAGACAACACTTTTTTGGTCATGTGAAATCCTAAGCAAAGAACACAGTTGAGATATGAAAGATTTCTGACTTACACTATGAGATAATAAATGGGTGTTGTTTAAGCTTCTATTTTGTGGGCAAATTTTTTAGACAGCCATTGAAAACTAATATAAAGACACAATGTTAGAATTAAATTATACTTTTAGTAGGATTCACAGTAATGTAGTTATGAGGTAGTGCACCTAAATAGTTAAAACAAATACTCTTTCAGTCAATTTCTAAATATTACCAGGCTGTAGAGCTTGATGGTTTCATGGTTATTCTAAATTTTTAAAATTTGGGGGTGTACGAATTGTAATTAAACGTGTGATTAATTTTTCTTCAAACATCTCAAGCAAATTAACATACTTTTGTTAATTTTTGTTAATTTTTGTTAACATACTTTTGTTAATATACTTTTTGTTATTCAGTAATATTGGTGTTTGTACTTTTAGGTTGAAGCAAAGAAATGCTTATGCAGCTAAAATGGAGACCATTACAACAATTCTCTTTGTTACACTATAGAAATTCTAGATTTTTTTACATTGTCTACAAATAATGTCATATGATGAATAATATGGAGCAATGAAAAAAATAGGTCATTTAAGTGCAGAAATACATTTGCCTAAAGGAAAGTTAAAAATAAAAATATTGTTCATTGTAAATATTAGAGATGTATTGCCAATTAATTGTCTCATTTTTTACTTTATTAATTCAGAAATAGACTATGCAATGATAAGGATGTTTTATATTAAATCATCTTAGAGAGATTGTAGAGAATCAAACTCCCACAGTGATGGTGAAAATGTAAGTTGGTATAACTTCTTTAAGGACAATTTAGTAATATTTATTAAAATTTAAAATAATATACTCTTTGATCCAGAATTCCATGTAGATGTATTTTTACATATACACAAAGATGTTTATTTTTACACAAGGAAATTGTCTGCAATTTTAGTGTAAATACTAAAAAAATGAAATGTATATCCATGTAACAGGCTGATACGTGATTTTCAGAATCAGTAGAGCTGTATGTGTTCATAAGGAAAAAAAAACTCTGAGAAATATTTTTAAGTGAAACAAGCAGGATTCAGAATAGCAATTATCTTTCATACTTAAAAATCCATGTTTCCATGGATAGATACATTCATAGTGGTGATATGTATACACATGTAACATATAAATATGTATATTTGTGTAAAAAGGTGGAAATTATTTATGCAAAATTTTTGTTTCTCATGGAAAACTTCATAAAGATTTGCAGAAAGCAATTTACTAGTTATTTCTAGGAAGTGGTGTGCAGCTGGAAAGAAATTCACCTTTCATTGTATATTCTTTGTTTTCTTTCAGTTCTTAATCATATCCCTGCATTCTGATCATACATTTCAGAAAGATCAACTTTCCCTAGCAGGCATTCCTAACTTCTTCCTTAGTGTGGTTATTATATCATCATCTATATTTTCCATTTTTATTTTCATTTTTCACAGGCACAGAAATACACCAAGTAACTAGTCAGTTTAGCAAAGGTCTAAAATGAGCTGACAGGTCTGTAAGACAATAAAATATTGTTATTCAAAAGCTGAAGATCTGTGTATTATTCTTACAGTCACTTGCATGTTGTAATTATAATGAATATTTCACACATAACTGTTATAATTTTTAAAATAATTTTATTTTCTTCATTTTCTTTAATGAATTTGGAAATAGAAACACACTTTAGTGAAAAAAAAAGGAACAGAAAAGTTTAATTGAAGACATCTAAATCTTGGTAATGAATCTAAAGTGTTCATCTTTAATTTTTATTTCTTATATGCTTAATTTGAAATTACAGAGGATATAAATCCCTAAAACTTTCAAAATACATGTGATTTATAGGAATATCTATGAAATATTTTGTCATTTAGCTTTGTACTTTCTATACATATTTTGGAATATATTCCTGACTCATGTGGTGTTTTCTGAGATTATTTAACTTCCATCATGTCTTAAAACTTTTAGGTGCATTTTATGTAATGATATCAAATTACAGAACACAATATGAAAGTATTATCATGCTGAGTTTTGTTTGTGAAGACAGAAGTAAGAATTGTTTTGTTGTAGCTGACAACATAATGGTGATCATTGTCTGTTTTAGACAAGACTCCCAATAGGCAAGCGAGGTAGGCACATATACGCTTGAGGAGTTTTGCTGAGATTGATAGGGTTTCCATCCAATCGGATATCCTCTAGTGCCTTGCGAATGTAAGTCAAATTTTTAACATTGCAGAAGGTATCTTCATGCATCTCTAGAATGTTGTTATTCTAGAAAAGATGAAAATAAGTTACAAGATATAACATATGCTTAGTACGGATATATAGTGCATTTTACTTCATTCTATTTTTATTTTTTGTCACTTATCAAAAAATGTACATTATGCAATTACTATACATCAAGAACTTTTTAGGCAACAGAGATAAGTCAATTAAAATAGATATGTGCTTGCTCTCATAGAATTTATACCTCAGTAATGGGAATATAAAATAAGTGAAAAGACAAATTTACAGAAAAAAGATGTTATTTCCAAAATGATTAGAACTATGAAGAAAGGATGGTGACTATGAAAAGTTATCTTAAGCGACAGCAATGGAACTTGGAAGGAACAACAAGAAGGCATGGTCACTCGAAGAGCCAAGGTGAGAATAACCCCAACAGAGAGAACACCAAATTCAAATTCTGAGTAGCTAGTATAGAATGTTCAAGAATGAGAAATACTCAATATGGTTGAAGTGAACTGAGGGAGAGAGTGAGCAAAAGTCAGAAAGATAGCAGGCCCAGAACTGGGTATTTTTTTTAAATAGCTTTATTGAACATACTTCACAAACCATAAAAGTCACACATTTTAAATGTGCAGTCCAGTGGTTTTCAATATATTTACAGACTTGTATATAAGTGTCCCTAAAATTTAATTTCAGAACATTTTAAATATCTCCTTAAGAAACGTCATAGCTATTAGCAATTACTTCCCCTTTCCATTACCTCTAGCCCTGGTAGCTTCTAAATGACATCATATATCACCTTTTGAGACTGCTTTCTTTCACTATGAATTGTATTTTCAAGGTTCATACATATTGTAGCATGAATCAGTACTTTTTTAAAAAAAATTACTCAATCATTTTTCTCTTGTGTGGACATACTATCTCTTTGTTTATTCATCAGTTAATGGGAATTTGATGGTTTCCAGTTTCTGGCTCTCTTAAATAATGCTTCAGTAAACATTTGTATACAGATTTTGTGTGGACATATGGTTTCGCTTTTCTTGGCTATATATCTAGGAATTGAATTTCTGAGTTATATATTATAGTAACTTTATTTTAACATTCTAAGGAACTGTTGAACTGTTTTCCAAAGTAGCTGCGCCATTTCACACTTCTATCAAAAAAGTATAAGTGTTCCAATTTTCTCTGCATCCTAAGCAACACTTGTGATTGTCTGTTTCTTTTGTTATAGACAACCAAGTGAATGTAACATGGTATCCCATTGTGATTTAATTCATTCCTCATGTATAAGGATAGGCAAAAGTAGGATAATTGTAGTGAACAAAGAAACAGTTCATTCTTTCATTATTATTTCTTAATTATTGTATTATTTATTTGTATTACAACTATACACCTATTTTTGCCCTCCCCTGCATAGAAATACAATTAATATTTTATATGGATTATGTAACCCTGCCACATTGTTAAACTCATTTATTATTTCTGGTGGGTTAGAGAACTGTCTATTCAGGCACTCAGACATGACTTTCTCTATAAAATATTTGTATTGGTAGGTCAATTTGGGCAGTATTTTCATCTTAATATAAAGGCTTTCAACCCACGCATATAGGGATATCTTTATTTATAAATTTCTCCCCAGCTATTTTGAGGTATAACTGACAAATAAAATTATACATATTTAAGGAGTGCAGCATAATGTTTTTATATATGTATACATTGTGAAATAACTACTACAATCAAGATAATTACATTTTCATCAACTCACATAATTACATTTTATGTGGGTATGTGGTAAGAGCACAAGATCTCTCAACAAATTTCAAGTATACAGTACTGTATTATTAATTATAGTTACTATGCTGTACATACTCAGAGATTATTCCCCTGAATAATTTATTTTATACCTTTATAAAGATCTCACTATATCTCCTACCTTCTAGTCCCTAGTAGCCATGCGTCTACTCTCAGCTTCTGTGAATTTGACTTCTTTAGATTCCACATATGAGATCATACAATACTTGTCTTTGGTGTCTGGCCAATTTCACTTAGCATAATGTTCTCTAGGTTCATCCACATCACTGCCAAAGGCAAGATTTCCTCATTTTTAAGGCTTTTAAAATTATACCTTTATTATATTCCATTGTATACACATACCATAATTCATCTGTCATCACCATTGATAGACACTTGAGCTTTTTCTGCTTCCTGGCTAATGTGAATAGTGCTGCTGTGAACACGGGAGCACAGATACCTCTTCAAGATACTGACTTCATTTTCTTTAGATACATAGAATGGGATTGTTAGGTCATATGATAGCTCTGTTTTTCATTTTTCAAAGAACTTCTACACAGTTTTCATAATGACTGCATCACTTTACATTCCTACCAACAGTGTGCAAAGGTTCCCTTTTCTCCACATCTTCACCACCATTTACCTTTGGGTCTTTTTTATATTAGCCATTCTAAAAAGTGTGAGGTGATACATCCTGTGGTTTTGGTTTGCCTTCCCCTGGGGCTTACTGCTGTGGAGCAGCTTTACTTATACCAGTTGGCCATTTGCATATCTTCTTTAGAGAAATGTCTGTTCAGGCCCTTGCCAATATTTTCATTGGGTTATTTGGGTTTTTTTCTTTTCCTGTTGATTGTTTGAGTTCTGTGTATATTTTAGATATTAACCCCTCATTAAATAAATGGTTTGCAAATATTACCTGCAAGTTATTTCTTTTTAATTTAATTTCTTAATTTCATTTTCAGATCATTCACTTCTAGTGCATACATATACAATTAATATTTGTGTATTAAATTTATAACTTGCTGCATTGCTAAAGTCATTTATTATATTTCATCTTTGACTTATTGCTTAAGGAAGGTTGTTTAATATTAATATACTTGTGAATTTCCAAATTTTTCTTTGTTGTTAACCTCTATTTTCATTTCATTTTCACCAGAAAAATAATTTGTATAGTTTTAATTATTTTAGGCCTGCTGAGGCCTGTTTTGTTGTTTCATATATGGTCTATCCTAGGAGACAAGGTCTATCGTTGCACTCATGAGAAAAAGTCATATTTTGCTGTTGTTGGGTGGAATGTTTCACAGATGACTGTTAGGTTCAGTTCATTAATACTGTTGTTCAAGTCTTTTTTTCCTAGTTGATCTTATGGCTAGTTGCTCTCTCCATTAAAAAAGTGTAGTATTGGAATATCCAAAGCTATCATTCTTGATTAGTATGTTATATATTATCAAATATTTTTCAAATGAACCAAATAAGGGGATTTTTTAAAAAGATTTTATTTGTTTATTTTCAGAGAGAGGGGAAGGGAGGGAAAAAGAGAGGGAGAGAAACATCAGTAGGTTGCCTCTCACACACCCCCAACTGGGGACCCAGCCAGCAACCCAGGCATGTGCCCTGACAAGGAATTGAACTGGCAACCTTTCAGTTCACAGACTGGCACTCAGTCCACTAAGCCACACCAGCCAGGGCCAAATAAGGGGATTTTTATATAAGCATTAAAAATTAATATAAAATGAAGACAATGTAAATGAGAAATAGCTTCATGCTAGATATTGATAAGGTGATTGTGAAAGAAGTATTTTAAATGATGCACTTAATGTCTTCTTAAACCTTAAAATAAGAAAGGTAAAGCCAATTATTTTTTAATTTTTTTTATATTTCACTTACAATTGACATACAATATTATAGTAGTTTCAGGTGTATAACCTAGTGATTAGACATTTATATAACTTATGAAGTGATCGCCCCAATAAATCTGATGCCCATCTGACACCATGCATAGTTATTATGATATTATTTACTATATGCCCTATGCTATATTTTATATCCTCATTATTATTCTGGAATTACCAATTTGTAATTCTTAATCCCGTCACCTTTTTTGGCCATCCCCCATCCCTCTCCCATCTGGAAAAAATCAAAATGTCCCTGTATCTATGAATCTATTTTTGTTCTGCTTGTTAATTTATATTATTTTGTAGATTCCACAAATGAGTGAAATCATATGACATGTTTTTCTCTGTCCAACTTATTTCACCCAACACAGTACCCTCTAGCTCCATCTGTGTTGTTGCAGATGTCAAGATTTCATTCTTTTTAATTACTGAGTTATATTTTGTTGCATATACACACCACTTCATTATCCATTCATCTATTGACGTACTTAGGTTGCTTCCATATTTTGGGTATTGTAAATAATGCTGCAATGAACATATAGATACATAACGTCTTTTTGATTTAGTGTTTGGGTTTCTTCAGCTAAATACTCAGAGGGAGAATCACTGGGTGCTTCTTTGTCTTTTGTTATAGCCTTTGCTTTAAAGTCTATTTTGTCTGGTATAAGTAATGCTACCCTAGGTTTTGTTTTTCTTTCCATTTTCATGGACCATCATTTTCCATCTCTTTATTTTCAGTCAGTGTATGCCCTTCAATCTAAAGTGAGTCTCCTGTAGACAGCATATGTAAGAGTCTTGTTTTGTTATCCATTCAGCCTCCCTATGTTTTTATTTTTTTAATTATTGACTATTACAGATGTCCCCCATTTTCCCATCTTTGTTCACCTCCACCTAGTTGCCCACCAGCCTTCACCACATTGTTGTCTGTATCCATGGGCTATGCATATATGTATATGTTCTATGGCTAATTTTTTCTAGTGCCCTCTACCCTCTACTTTCTGAGGTCTGTCAGTCTGTTCCACATATCCATGTCTCTGGCACAATTTTGTTCGTCAGTTTATTGTGTTCATTAAATTCCACATATAAGTGAGATCATGGTATTTGTTTTTCTCTGACTGGCTTATTCTGCTTAACATAATAATCTCCAGGTTCATCAATGTTGTCCCGAAAGGTAAGAGTAATTCTCTTTTATGGTCACATAGTATTCCATTGTGCAAATATACCTTATCTTTTTTTATGCACTTATCTACTAATGGGTATTTGAGCGGTTTCTGATCTTGGCTACTGTAAATAATGCTGCTATGAATATGAGGGTGCATATATTCTTTCTGATGGGTGTTTTGAAATTCTTAGGACGTAGTCCCAGAAGTGATATTCCTGGGTCAAATAGCAGTTCTTTTTTTTTTTTTTTTCTTTTTTTTTTGAGAAAACTCCATACTGTTTTCTACCGTGGCTATGTTAGTCTGCACTTGCACCAGCGATGCACAAGGTCCTTGCCAGTACTTGCTGTTTATCCATTTTTTAATGGTAGCTATTCTGACAGGTGTGAGGTGATATCTCATTGTGGTTTTAATTCACATCTCTCTGATGATTAGTAATGTTGAGCATTTTTCCATATGTGTATTGTCCATTTGTATGTTCTCTTTGGACAAATGTCTTTTTAGGTCCTGTGCCCACTTTAAAAAAAATTGGATGGTTTGTCTTTTGGGTGCTGAGTTGTGTAAGTTCTTTATAAATTTTGGAAATTAGCCCTTATCATATGTATCATCGGTGAATATGTTCTCCCTTACAGTTGGGTTCCCTTTGCATTTTGTTGATGGTTTCTTTGCTGAGTGAAGGCTTCTGGCTGTGACATCTATCACCTCATCAATTACCAGGGTTGATTCAGCTGCTCTGGCTAGCTAGGCAGGTGTTCTCCCTCACTGATCTATATGCATCCCTCCTGAAGCTACATGCTCTGTCTAAGAAGATGACGTTCCTGGTTAGAGGAGAGGACTCTTCTTCAGTCAAGGGTATACAGGTAGCTGCACTCTCCTGCTAGAACCTCTAAACAAGCTCCCCTTATGTCTTTTAATTGGAGTATTTAATCCATTTACATTTAAAGTAATTATTGATAAATATATATTTATTGCCACTTTATCATTCATATTTTTTCCTTTTTTCCTTTATATTAAAGAAGATTTTTTAACGTGTCTTTTAATACTAGTTTGGTGGTAATGAACTCCTTTAACTATTATTTTTTCCTTGTCTGGGAAGGTCTTTATCTGTCCTTTGATTCTAAATTATTTCTTTGCTAAGTGGAGTAATCTTGGCTGTAGGTCCCTGCTTTTCATCACTTTGCATATTCTGTGCCAATCCCTTCTGACCTGCAAAGTTTCTGTTGAGAAATCAGCTGACTGTTTTATGGGAGCTCCCTTTTAGGTAAGTAACTACTTTCTTCTTGCTGCTTTTAAAATTCTCTCTTTGTCTTTAATCTTTGGTAAATATGTCTTGGTGTGGGCCTCTTTGGGTTTATTTTATTTTAGAGTCTCTTCCTGGGCCAGTACATCTTTTTTCTTTACCAGGGTAGGGAATTTTTCTGTTATTATTTCTTCAAATAGGCTTCCAATCCTTTGCTCTCTCTCTTCTCCTTCCAGTAACCTTATGATGCAAATGTTTGTATGCTTCTGCTGTTACAGAGTCCCCTTAAGCTATCCTCATCTTTCTGAATTATTTTTCCATTTGTTGTTATGATTAGGTGTTTTCTGCTACCTTATTTTCCAAATCACTGCTTTGATCCTCTATTTAATCTAATCTACTGTTGATTCCTTGTAATGTATTCTTCATTTCAGTTATTGTAGTCTTCATTTCTGACTGGTCCTTTTTTTATGGCTTCTATCTCCATTTTTATGTTTCCTATCTCTTGGTTGAAATTCTCACTGGGACCATTAATCATCCTAATAACCAATGTTTTGAAATCTGCATCTGGTAGATTGCTTGTCTCTATTTAGTTTTTTTCTGGAGTTTTGTTCTGACTTTTTACTTGGAATATATTTCTTTGTATCCTCATTTTGGCTGCCTCTCTGTGTTTATTTCTATGTATTAGGTACAGTTGCTATGCTTCCTGATTTTGGTAGAGTGGCCTTATGTAGTAGGTATTCTGGAGTTCCAGCTGTGCTCTCCCCCATGGGAGCTGTGTGCACTCTCCTTTTGTAGGTGAGCCTGGATTGCTGTTGGCATATCCATGGGAGGAATTAACCACCTGGTCAATTAGCAGCAAGGACTGGTTGAGACCAGAGTGGAGGATTTGCTGTACAAGGACAACATAAGGCAGGACTCACTCAAGGGGACTGTGGTGCCCACTGAGTCCACCTCTTGAGTGTGTTGTAGAGGTAGTTGGGTGGTGCTTCAACATGGTCTGAAGCTGTCCACCAAGTGCACTGGCTCTAGGGCCTCCTGCAGATCAAGGTTAACTGCCTCCTGTTCTCTGCCTGGAGCCACCCCACATGAACTACAAAGCAAACTGCAGATGGCTGTTATTTGTGCTGGGCTTAGTGGTGCAAGGAGAGGCCAAGCTGTGAATGACTCAAAGTTGGCTGCTGCTAATGCCAGGCCTGGGGCCACTGAGCAAGAAGTGCAGGGTATGCTGAGGCCAGATGCTGTTTATTGGAAAGACTTCAGGGAAGTCCACAGCATGAGCCAAGACAGGTTATTTGTATAGCAAAGCCACTGGAATCAGCATGGTGGGTCTGTAAGTAAGGTGGGATAGGATCTCAAGGAATCAACAATGTGGAGCAAACGGGGTTAGCTAGGTTGATGGAGGCTCCGATATTATGTCCACCTGCTGGCTCTGTAGAAAGAGGGCTCAGCAAAGGAATAATGGTTTCTGCCTAGAAGAAACCTGCCCTTCTAGCCCTCACCCTGATGCCAGACAATTCAGTTCCTCCCTGTATGTCCCTGACACCTTTCGCGCTGGTACCCAAGTGCTGGAGCTCAGAGTGAGTGAGTCGGTCAATGAACCAGTCCATGCACGGGTCCTTTAAGAGGAACACCTGGTACTACAGAAGCCCTCTATCTCATTCATCCACAACCCTCTTTGGTTTTCACAGCTAGAAGTTTTGGGAACTCGGAGCTGGGATCCCTTGCTCCTCAAAGGGGGTACATCCACAGCTGAACTATCCCTCCTGAGTTTTAACAGCCACATGTGGGTATGGGACTGCCCTGTTCTGCATCTCTGCCCCCTCCTACCAGTTTTAATGTGGGTTCTACTCTGTATTCTTAGTTGTAGGACTCATTTTCAGGTGCATTTCAGGCTGTTCTGAATGATGGCTGTTCTGTAGTTTAGCTGTAATTTTGATGTGGTTGTGGGAATATGGAAGTATTGCATTTACCTACTCTGTCATCTTTATTGAAAGCCTGAAAGGCAATTACTTTTAAAGAAATCTCATATTGTACACACAAGCACATTGTGTTTAACTATAACATCAGAGACCTGGTTACTTTGTAGAGTCAATATCATTACAGAAGACAGTCAAAAAATTAATTAATAATTAGAAAACACATTACAATATTTCTTTGAGGATATCCTTGAAAGTTCCTCCTGTCATACATACCTAAGACAAGAAATCCTCATATGTGTTAAAAATAACTTCCAGGAAAGAGATACCAAAAGAGAGCCATCCAGAAACAGGGTGATGACTAGAAAGGAAGTAAGACAGTAAACACTACCAGAAAAACTCTCAAAAGAGACAGATATACAAGACTCAGAGACATATATATAAAAGGACAGATATATCTATAGCTATATAAAATATATGTTAATAGAATAAAAAAGACACAGGAGTAAATATTTACAGAATCCACACAGGAAAACATAGAAATCAGAGACCTGCTCTCACATAGCAAAATCACCTAGTAAAAGATTGTAATAAGCACTATGATATCATCCCTTGAGCACACATTGGATGTATTATCTACAGATTTATTCTACAGAACATAAAATTATTACAGAAAGTTAATTACAGCTGAAGACCAAAAGTTATATCCATAATAAGAATAATTTATCTTTTTTGTTTTAACTGAGAATATTTTGGTATATTTAAATAAAATATATTTAGAAATATTAGATCATAACATTTTTGAAAATGTGTTTTCACACATTACTTTAAAGATAAAATTTAGCTTAATGGGGTTTAAAACAAAGCAGATCTTCAAATATGTCAGTTTAGGAGAAACTGCATTTTCTTAATCCAGAAAAATGGAAGTCTGTCATTGCTAAGCAGATAGAATGCCCTAGGATTGAATTCAATTCAATATATAAAACCTAAAGAAAAACGAAAAGGCTAAAATTGACATTTGTTTCCCTAAAAGTTAGAAATCAAATTAGATATTTTTTCTCTTTTTCTCTTCCATTTCTAATCCTTATGCAATTCTTCAGCAAATAAAACTTCCAATTTTTTTTTCCAGAAGAACCTTTGTGTGCCAAAAAAAAAAATATATCATGATGTGGCAAATAATGGAAATAAAAATTAAGGTTATTAGAAATAGGGTCATGAATGCACAAAAACCTTGTGAGACTGCGAGAGAATGACTGAGAGAAAAGAGAAAAAAAGAGACACTGTTGCAGTGCGTCAACATGACATTATAAAGAGCTTCTTGTGTCTCCATTTGCTCCTGTTTGCCTTTGTTTTCCTTGGAGCTGTTGGGCATACCTTGTAGTTGAAGCTTACCTGGAGATGAAGGGCCCGTAGGTTTTCTGGGAGTGGGAGAGGAATGTGGTCCAAGTTGTTATCGGTGAGGTACAGGTGATGGAGATCATACATATCCTGGAAACATTCCAAACGTAGGGACTTAATAGGAATGAGTGATGCCACCGATGTATTTTTCATTCCCTGTCCATGCAATTATTTGTAGAATACCACATGCCTGTTTGGATCTCATTTAGTAAAGCTAAAGCAGAATAGATTTCCTAAATTACTAGATAATGCAAATGAATTTTGGAAGAATTGAGGACAAGCGGCCGTCTCTTGATGAAAATGAAACATGTTTCTCAATCTCTATGAAGAAACTTGCTTTGTCCACTCTAAACTTCTCAGTTTAAGTAAGGCACTGGTTTCTCGTTCTCTATTCTGCAATAGAACTTTGAGGATTTGGGTGAGACATAGTAAGAATTTATTTCACGGTATAGGGATGGAGACAGGAGAATTTCTCCCCAACAAAAGCCTTCTCTTTCTAATCTGAGCTTCAGAGAAAGGACAGCTGAGCAAGATGGAAAAAGTTTAGACAATAACAGATTGAATCTAGGCAAATACCACAGGACAAACTGTAACTCACCACTGGCCATGCCAACAAAAAATCAATGGAGAGACTGGACTGCTACCCTTGCCAGGTTCTAAAGAGGTGCCCTAAGTCTCTTGCCCAAGATGGGGTGTTGCAAGATAGCCACAAGAGACAGGACTTTCACCATTGCCCAGTGCTAATGGGTCCACACAACAACCTCTAGCCACCAAGGAAGTAATGTGATATCCCCTCAAAGATTCGTTTTTCATTTATTTGTTCAACGTATGTTGAGAGTATTGGCTTGAATAAAGTAAAAATGTCTAAGAAAGCCAGCTGGCTACTGTATTCAGACTCTACACTGTTATTCCAAGCAAGTCACTGTAGTTCTCAGCTCGCTTTCTTCACTTAGAAAGCAAAATCCTTAAGATTAACTGGATCTATCCTTCTTATAAAGTAACTTGGAAGCCTTCTATCCCCAAGGCACCAATCACTCGCTGTAAAAGTAGTTATCCTTTTAGCCACATTAAGTGCTCTCCTTGAGTGGACTTTTTGGTAAATACAAACTATCTGCCAAACACCATTTCTAGGTAGACACCCACTTCTTATTCCACTTCTGCTTTCTGTTCTTGGTGCTTGATCATTCTCGAAATGTACCAGAGCACAGTATTTCCTGACAGCATGATAAATAGAGTTGTAAAATTTAGAAGTTAAAAATCTCATCAAAGTGAATTCCTTTGTAGAAATAAAAACAGCTAGACATTGACTGCAAATGGAATGGGAAGATGAAAATATTTTATATCCAAACTTAAAACTTACTTTAAATGCTTCTTGCTTTATTCCTTTCCTTCCAAGTCTGTTGTTGCTAATATCAATGAATGTCAAAGTGGTTGGCAACTCTGGGAGTTGCCTTATTTTGTTGTCACGCAGGACAAGCTCTCGGAGTTGAGGCAGCTTTCTGAATGCATCTTCATCAATCTCAGATATTAAATTTGATGTCAGATCAATCCTCCTTAAATCATCTAGAAGAAAAAATGATGGAAGTAGTGAAATATTCTTGAAATGTTTTATTCACATAAAAATATGAATGTAAATTTCCTACATACAAGCAAACATAAACATGAATTTATTTAGCAATAACCAGTTAGTTATTTCTAACTACTTTAGAAAAATTTAATTGTTTCCTCTAAATACTATTTGTATTTATGCTTTTATAAGAAAGTATAACTTATACAAAGAAACTGGCACATTATATTTAAAGTAACTAGTCTTTTCTCCATATTCTGAATAAGCTTTATCTGGATTTAACTATTTAAAACTTTTTCTTCAGGGATGACAGATTGCTGTATTTTCTAGTAGTAAAAGATACATTGGTATTAAAATATAAAATCATTAAAAAGAAATTTTTAGTGACTAAAACACTTGATGAAGACGAGTACAAGAATTCTCTGTTGACAACAATTATAACATCAGAATTTAGGATTGCATTCTTCTATCATAAAGTAATTGTGTTTTTATGGGAGTCTCTTTCAAACAAAAAATCTTAGTAAATATATAACTTATGACATTTTACTCTTAATGTCATAACATGACAATAAATTCTAGCCTATAAAAGTTATTTATGATTTTTATTTAGTTGAAAATAGTTTATTTGAAAATATCAACAACTACATAGTTTCATAATGACTTTTATTCATCATTTTTTTCTTATCATAATTAAAATAAATCTAAACAGTTAAAGAAGAAAAATAATTGATTTATGAGCCATATTTTATATTCAGCTATCATGTTCAGTAGCAACATTTTATAGTACCAAAAAATTTATGAAAATCTGTAAAAAAAAGAGAAGAACATTAGTGCTGTCATTCATACTTAGGCTTGCAAAATCATTTCTGTTGATCTTTTTAATTCTGTTAAAGCGGGAATAGAAATATGCAGTGTTCTTGGGCAGTGGAGGAATAGCCTCAAGTTCATGGTCATCGCAGTAAACAGTGGTGCTTATACAAGTACACAGAAGGCAGGTTGGAAAATCTAAAAGATAGAGACAAATAATTATAATTAAGTAACAAAAGCAATTTCTAACAGTGTGGTTAGCTGTGTCTGTTAAACAAGATTAGAGTCTCATACAGACAATCCTGTTGTATTTCATATTTTTTTACATAATTTTCTATAAATGGAATAGTAGTCAAATACACCAACTAATGCTGACTCAATAATTAGTATATTTTTTGTAATGTTTTAAAATTTTATTTTAAATTACTGAGTGGATACTGCACAGTTGATGTTTTTATACTTAAAAATTCTATCTTCAAATGTAAACATTAATATTGTGTTTTTTATTAATTTATAGCAACACATGTAAATGTTTTTATTAGCTCTTTGATTCCACATTTAAACAACTCACTGAAACAAAATCTGCTTCAAGAAAAATACAGGGTAACAATCAATACTGTTAATTCACTCAGTATATATATTTTTTACTCCCTTCTATGTAAATGGCACTATGATAACTGCTGAAATTGTGGTGAGCACAAAGAGACAGAGTTCTATTTTATGATCTGCTATGTAAGATGAATGTTAATCAAGTAAATAAATGAAAGGATGACTATGTTAATTTCATGAAACATCATCTGAGCATAAAACAGAAAAATTTGATCTAGTTTGAAAGTGATGGTTCTCTGAGAAAATGAAAATTGAATTGAAATCCACAAGAAGAGAAGGTGTTGACTTTGCTGGTGAAGGAAGTATATGCAGGCGAAAGAAGCAGCACATTCCCAGTTCCTTCATTTGGGAGGGACTAATAGACAGTCCATGTCACCACAGTGCAGAGAACATAAGAATGTGTAGGACATAACACATGTGGCTTTATAGGCTGAGTTCCAGGTGTTGTTCCTTATCCTACATATGGGCAGGAGTGTTACGTTATCAGATTTCGACGTTAGACATCACTTGCTCAAAGGCATGGTGGAGGTCTAGGGGAGGGCCAGTGGGCAGAGTGGAGATGACTTGTTGTCTAGATAAAAGATGATGGTTGCTAGGGTAATCGTGATGGAAAGACAACAGATCCAAAAGATATTTGTTAGGCTGGATTATATCTCAACATACTAATCTATTTTTTTCCATCTCACATACACACATGCACACCTACCCCTCCTTCACTTCCTGTTTAACGGTCTTGTAGAGGACAGTGGCTTCTAAGGGATACACAAAAGCAATGACCAGAAGGAAAGGAGGAAAAGAGGATAGGGCAATACAATGGATGCCAAGTTGAGTAAGAGTTTGAAAGAAAAGGAAATAGAAACCAATCAAGGCTGCTGAGCTGTTAGGTAAATTAATGACCTAAAAATGTCTATTGGGTAAGTTATTGTGGTGGTTATAGGAGATTTCAGTAAGAGCTATGGAGTGATGAGAGTGCAAGCCAGATTACAGTCATTAAGGAGAAAATTGGAGGTGAGGAAATAGTTACAGCAAATGTAGATGATGCTATTGAGATATTTGACTGTAAAAAACTAAGTAAGAGAGGTAGGGGTAACTGCAAAAACATTATTTGTGTTGGGTATAATGAGGGATATTGACTAAAGTGTGAGGTTTTTAAGAACCCAAAGGGTAAAAAAAGATCTTGAGGGGCAGTAGGAAAGGAAGTTTTAAGCCTAATGGGAAGAATGCACATCCCACATTTGGGAGCACATACAGTTCCTTTGTTGTGATAGCAGGTGAGATATAGTTGTAGGTAAATTATATGTCTGAAAACAATAAGACCAAATATTTGTTGGCCAGAAGGTGTATCTTCTTTGTGAAGTAGGAGGATTAGCTTTCTGAAGAGCTCGCGGAGTAAAGGGAAAAGGAGAGGAAGTGTTGTGAGAGGTGAGGTAAATGGAGAAATTGAAATAAGCCCTGAGAATTATAGAAGAAGAAAACAATGGAGGAACTTCTTTGGGATTGCTAAGTGATCAGCTCATTCCTACTTAGCTGAAACTTTCCTGGTCTTAGCACTGAAAGTCCCCTATCTCTGGGACCCCTTACTCACAGACATAAGGGACAATTTGTTGCCTTAGTTCAAATAGCAAGAATTAGTAATACAACTAAGATAAAACAAATAATTAATCATGCTCTATAGCTCTAGTACAAATATACTTCCACTAAGCCTTTTTTGAATTTTTATTCCAGCAATGAGAAGTTCCTCATATTCTTCATATCCTTTAAAATATCAGCAGAAAGGGGAAGGGTCATCAAGGAATGTGTATAAAAGACCCATGGACAAAGCCAAAGGGGGGTAGGATTGAGGGTGGGAGGTGGGGTGAGTGGGTGGGGGAGAGAGAGGGGGAGAAAATGGAGATAACTATACTTGAACAACAATTTAAAAAAATACATCAGCAGAGGCTACAGAAAAACACCCTGGCTGATTAATCTCAGCCCAGTTAATAGGATAAAGAAAATTATACCATAAATTGCATGGCTATCTCAACTCTTGACTAGTCTCACTCTGGCTGCCTCTGAGTCTGAATTTCCCAAAGAACAAATTTCTAGGGCACTGGATTACAGGAGAGTGGGGACAAATTTCACTCCAAGATCTTATATATTGTATAGATGCCATACTCAGCAGTGAGCTGTTATATTCATTTTAGGAAATCTTCATAATTTTCAACTTGTAAACTTTTTAAGACCTCTGTGCATTTTAAGTGTGTGTGACTTGAGTGATGTTATCAATGTTTTTGTAAATATTTACTATGTTTTTTCTATTTAACTTAATTCTAACAATTTTGTACTTTAATAAAACACTCTAAACATTGCAACTGCTTCCCCCTGAAATAACTAGTAATGTACTTACTAATGTTTTACTGCTATCATTAAATAGGAAAATCATTTACAATAACAACTTCAGGAATAAACAAACAATTTTAGAAATAAAAAAAATTAAGAGGTAACTGTAAAATAATTAATACTTAATGATTTCTTCCATCAATATAAAATAATATTTGCCATTTATCATATTTTTTGAAATAAGGCCTTTTATTCTCCTATATATTCATGGCTATGCTAATTTAACAATAATTTCTTAGAGTAATAATATATTCACACCAGTTATAATTTAATTATGGTTTTTCCACTCATAACTCAAGACCACTTTATGTGGCTTCAGAATATAATTTTTAGAAATTTGTAGCAATAATTAAAAATATATTTTGATATTTAATGTTATAAATGATTCCAAACTATGTAACTTTGATGAATTTATAAGATTATAATTTAATTTTAATATTAGAATTTTGGTGATGCTTTTTCTCTGTAACTTAAATTGTGAATTAAAACTTAACTTTGCTATCACATTCAGATTATTTTAGTGACAACATTTTTGTAAAGTCATAGAGAGAGCATTTTGGTGTGATTCTACTTGAATAACCCCAAGAATGACACTGATAAATTCTAACAAGAAATATAGACAAATTATAAAATCATTTTAACCCCAAGAATTTCTCCTCTGGTTTAGATCACTTTTGGCCATACAAAATGGAATTTGGTGTAATGGACCACTTGCCTCTCTTTTCCTTCTCTCTGCTTCTTCCTAGGACTGAGTGAGAAGAAGCCTGCTTTCCAGCAACTACAAGACAAAAATCAGAAGAGGCTCTCTTCAAAGCCAAGGTGTGAAACTAATGGTAATGTGATCTCTGGCAGGTCCCAACCCTTTTAGAGCTAGTACCTCAGTAATAATGAAAAAATTAATGCTGACACCCTCACAGGGAGTTTGTAATACTCACATGAGATAATGTAAAGTGCTGAGCATTATGGTCCACAGATATTAGGTGCTCAGTCAATGTAATATTGTTACTATTACCATCATCATTATCATTCATCATCAATAACCTTATTACCTTGAACTGCTGTGGCCTGATCTCAGACATAGATTCTGGTCCTGCTAATAGTGTATGCTTTGTTGAAGAAATGCATTCCATTAACCACATAGGTTTTGAGTAATGATGTTAGATAAATATTTTCATTCTAAATCTTTAGTCATTTGAAAATGTACATCATGCCCAAGCTGAATTATTGTAACTGCTTTATATTTGAATACAGAATAGAAGTGTATCTCTTGCTTCAAACCTAGTCTATTGCAAAACTTTCTCTTTGGGTCATGTGGGTTCCTTGTGTGGACTTGGAGCTTGGCGGTCTCGAGGGCTGACCAAGTGGATTTAATCACAACTCAGCATTGATGGACCTGACCTTCATTGGTTTGTGGACCCAGAACCCTGGGGAATTCAGGCTCCTGTGGGGAAGAGCCATCAATCAGCCTTGGGGTGGACTCCTCCTCCTCGTCTTCAGCTTCCTCTGGCTGTTGGGGTGGAGTGACGAGCTCTCTGTTCCCTGAAGGCATCATTGTAGCTATTTCAATCTGAAAAAGAAGCAGATTTTGATCGGGCAACCTCAGTCACCCTTTGGCAATGAAACAAATTTCAAATGTATCCATCTTTGCCACAAGAGGGCACTCGTGTTCTGACTGGCCTGCTTACCTGGGAGAGCCCATTAAGTTCCTTACTATTGTTTCTAATTAGTTGCTTTGGTTCTCAAATTTTAGTAATAGTTTCTAATATCTTTTGGCGAGGGAGAGGGTTCTGCACTTTTAAATATTTCTGTATGTTTGTTCATTTCATAAATTTTAAGAAGCCCTTATTTATGGTTTTCTAAATACATGACATTGTAAGAATGCATAAATTTGAAAGATTCAAATTAACCCCGAAATATTCAGAGTCCCCTTCACTCTGCTGCCTCCAAGATAATAACAATAAAAAAAATTTCCATGTATATTTCAGTCCTTTCAATCCTTGGTCCCCTGGATTTAAATGTTCTATTCCTTTACAACAATTTACATTTCTTCCAATTGTATTTTACTGAAAAGTCTTCTTTCTACTAAAATACAATATCTGCAGACATGAAAACTATGATTTGATGACAGTATGCCGATTCTCATATATTTTCAATATTATTTTAAATAGCAAGTATTACCAACAATATTTGAGAATGTTAAAATTGGCGTTTCTGAGCATTTTGACAATAAGCATTTAAAAAATTAAAAAATACTCAAATAACTTTTCAGGGATTGTATTTTTCTATTGTTGACACTATTACTGATGTCCCACATTTCTCCAACTTTGTCTCCTTCTACCCAGCCCCCTTCTACCCCCACCTTCACCACATTTTTGTTCTGTGTCCATGGGCTCTGTGTATGCATATATGCATATATGTTCTTTGGCTAATCATTTCTAGTTCCCACACCCCGCTTCCTTCTGAGAACTGTCAGTCTGTTCCATGTATCTATGTCTCTGGTTCTATATATTTTTTAAAGATTTAATTTATTTACTTTTAGAAAGAAGGGAAAGGAAGGAAAAAGAGAGGGAGAGAAACATCAATGTGTGGTTGCTTCTGTGCACCCCCTACTGGGGACCTGGCCCACAACCCAGGCATGTGCCCTGTTGCGAATAGAACTAGCTAGTTACCCTTTGGTTCGCAGGCCTGTACTCAATGCACTGAGCCACACCAACCAAGGGGCTCTGGTCCTATTTTGTTCATCAGTTTACTTGGCTCATTAGATTTCATTTATGAGATCATATGGTATTTGTCTTTCTCTGACTGGCTTACTTCAGTTAGCATAATGTTCTCCAGGTCCATCCATGTTGTCACAAAGGACAAGATATCCTCCTTTTTTAAGCCATGTAGTAGTCCATTGTGTAAATACACCATACATACCTTTTTTATCCTCTCACCTACTGATAGACACTTGGGCTGTTTCCAGATCTTGACTCAACACCAGGAAGACAAAAAACCCAATTAAAAAATGTGCAAAGGACCTGAATAGACACTTCTCCAAAGGGGACATACAAAACGCCAATAGACATATAAAAAAATGTACATCACTAATCATCAGAGATATTCAAATTAAAATGACAATGAGGTATCACCTCACACCTGCCCGGATGGCTCCCATCAATAAATCAACAAACAGCAAGTGCCTGTGAGGTTTGTGGACTAAAGGGAACCCTCATGCACTGCTGGTGGGGATGCAGACTGGTGCAGCCACTGTGGAAAACAGTATGGAGTTTCCTCAAAAAATTAAAAATGGAACTTCCATTTGACCCAGCAATTCCACTTCTGAGAATATGTCCTAAGAATCCCGAAAACACCCATCAAAAAGAATATATGAACCCCTATGTTCATAGCATTGTTATTTACAATAGTAAGGGATTGTATTTTAGATTGCGCTTGCTTTTCTCTTTTTACATGCATATATTAAGTAATAAATTATTACCTCTAAGACAACTGTTTGTAATTAGAATTATCCCTTACTCCTAAACTCCCTCCTACTGCCTCAGTATCTATTCCTTTGTATGTGACCTTGGGCAGAAAATGTATTCAAGACAATTGGTTGGCAACATGCCAGACCCACCCACTGGGGCCTAATTTCCTCAAGGCATCCCCAGAAATCCCAGATTTTCCCTTTACCTGACTGCTATGGCCCCTTGATCCTTTCCACCCTTCTTTATTTGCTTTCATTAAGCAAGCAACAAAAAAAGTTACTTTCTAACTTATTTAATGTCAAAATGATATGCAAGGGATTACTTTCATGTATAAAGTACATACATAATTAGGACAAATATATTCTGGATGTTTTAGATAAGAATAACATTTTAAAGATACATACATTTACTGCCATCTTTGATAAATTCGAATACATTGTTTCACGAATGAAAATTATCCTTTAAAAACCCCTAAACTTTCATCAGTGCGCATTTCTGAATTGTGTCCCCCTGTGCGCTTCTGCAGTCTCTCCCTCTTAGCCCTTCTTCCACTGTGTTATAGTGGTTCCATCGCTTTTCTGACCCACCAAACCTACCAGATGGTACACTCTCAGTTACGCCCTATGTCTTTATACCTAAAGGCTGTAGCATAATTTAGAATCAACAAGCACTTACTGAATGTAATACAAAAAGTTTGCTTGCCCAAAAAATATATCTAATGCATAGTTGCATACTTAGAGATTTTGCCAAAGAATAACTGAATGTGTTAATGCTTACTTTAACACATTTAATGCATGTAATCAAACCAAAAGCAAATCCTAAAAGCAAATCCTACTGTGTCTTATGCATTGGGAAGCCATACATGGAGATATCATGTCCATAAATCTCCACTTGAGAAGGCTGGGCACACTTCCTTAAACAGAGACATACGGGCTCCATCTGCAGGGTCAGAATGAGGCAACTTCAGAAGAAATGGATTTGCAGAGAGACCAAAAGGAGGCTCCAGGAAGAGCGGAAATTGAGACAGATGTTTCAGGGAATGGAGGCAGCCTAAAGGGAGAAACGCATTCCAGACACATTGCCTTGAGTCTTCGGCTTTATAGGAAAAATGTTTGCACATATTTTTGCACTTAATTGTTTTTCCACCGATCCAATGTGAAGCTGTAAGATCTCACTTGTCATTCACTATGAGGCGGCAAAACAGCTTTTGTGTTTATCAGAAACTGTTTTTTTCATGCTTATTTGCTATTTAAATAGGAATGTTGAACAACTTTTAAGACCAAGGAAAAGGAATGCCTTTTGGTTTACCAAAATAGTTACAACTGTAACCACAAAGTACTATGCCTGGAGAGTCTTTTGCATTGCAGACGTTTATTGTCACTGTTGAAAAGAAGTGATTTAGTCTTCTGTCTTTTTTTCCTCTCTTACCAATTTTCATAATATGATATGAAGTTGTGAGGAAATGCATGCAAAGAAATGAGGCCAGAGAAACATGACCGTCTGGCTCTCCATGTGGCAGACTTTTATACATATGCTGCAGAAACTTAAATTTGGGAATAAACACAAATAGCCAGAAAAATATCCCTACTTCTCAAGCTACAATTAGTAACACTCAAATGCAAATATATAACTGGGCCTCTGATATAAGTATCCATTTTTACTTAATTTACCTCCATTCTTTTTTATACTTCCTATTTTACTCTGGCTTGCTTCCTACTGAATTGGCCTTTTAATTTGTTCAGCACAAATTGCTGAACAGAAGGATGAACTAAGTAAATGTTGTTATAAGCCACCAAAATGTAGGATTATTTGTTAAACAAGATAACTGATACAGATTTTTATGTTGTACATGTGAATATTTGATTAATATGTATCTCTCCATAAGGGTAAATATATATCTTATAATTTTTTTCCACCACTATATTCCCAGATTCTACCCCAGTATTGCCAGCAATTAGTAGGATAATAAGTATTGTTGAATCAGTAAACAATTGTTGAAACAGGTAAACAATGACAATTTTTGATACTTGAAGGGGTGCTTTGGATACCAGAGTAAAAAAATATTTTAACATAAGTGTATGAGAGAACAGGTGTGAAAAGAGATTAGTTATGGGTCAGACATCTTCATGTCTGCCAATGGATCTTCATTATAGATCAAAGATACTGTGAAGGGAAACTAATAAAAGAGATATGCTTTGACCTCATAAGATGAAACTGCCTTTGAGTTTACTACTGATCCAAAGATTTTGCTTAGGTATGGTCTATATTTTAGGGGAAGGTGGAATTATATGTTTAGAGTCACAGCTGTTCCATTGCACAATTCTGAGAGGCACTATTCATTTGACATTCTGTGTGAATGGTGCCCCCTGGATTTATAGAACGCAATGATCTTGCTGAGTGCATGTTAACTCTGAGAGATTAACTAGTCCTGTTACCAAGGTTTACCTTATCTTTTTTCTTGTCCTCTTTACTTGAGCTGCAATTCTTACAGTTTTGACTTAACACATCAGTTAGTCAGAGATGGGACATTTTTCTTAATCTTTTCTTTGCCTATATGTACAATTTGAGAATAATGACAGTTCAGTAAACCCCGAAGGAAAAAGAAGGTAGAAGCATATATACGCCAAGATCCCATCTGATTTATTGATATTCATTGAAAAATAAAGATATAATTTTTTTTTATTAGAATAGGAAGAAAAAGCAGATTTCAGCATGTAAAACAGGGTCAAGGACAGGGTCACAGGGAGGTTTCCACCCCAAGAAATTTTCATTTTAGGTTGTTTTCAAGATGCAAAACTGACCTTAAAAATGCACTGTGAAAAGAGACCATTTTTTCCCAGCCCTTGGGCACAGCTTGCCTCCTGACTCCTAGCTGCATTGACTCCTGACAACACAGTTGAAGAAAGAACAAGGAAACTGAAGATGGCAGCCTATGAACATTCAGTTTAGGGAAAGAGTTTGCTAAGGTTAACATCGTTTGTTGGAGAGAACTATTAAATTTGTTGAATACAAACAACATAATCACTAAAGAGATCACCTCTGACAAGTAGAAATGAGATTTCATTTGATTTCCTCATGAGTTAGTTGAACATAATTGACA